CCCCAAAACCCCAAAACCCCAAAACCCCAAAAGGAAAAATTCGGTAAAATTAGAAATTAACAATTCTTAATTAATTTTGATGATAAAAGATTATTCAAGATTCATTTACTTTATTTCAAATCAAAACTTGTTTGCAGTATAAAATCTTAATTAAATTCCTGAATGTCTTTAAATCTACCCTATAATACTCTGATTAGGGAATCTATCGGTTTTTCAATGAATAAATGGACTAAGAATCCAAATAAGAAGGAAGCCACTACATTGTAGCAGAGCAGCCAAAACATTTCATTGTAAGTTAAGTACAAACTTGAGGTCATGCTTGAGACTAGAACTGATATAACGATAGGGAAGATCAAATAAATAGCATAGGAGAATCGGCCCAAAATCAAAAACTTCTTTGATGACAGAAATTTCTTGAGGATCATTCCGTTGTTTAGATAGAGATTGATTACTATGATGCTTAATGAAATTAAGAATATAGGTCTACTCAAAGAAATAAATAAGGAGTTGTGCAGATTACTCCAGAGTGTTGGCTGCTTGTTTGCCTCAAGAGGATATAATGTAACAAAGCCAATTAATCCCCATGCTAAGAGCTAAGAAACTACTATAAAAGCTCTATTTTTGTTTAGTTTTTTAAAAATACCTTATAAATTTCCTTCTTTCTTTTATCTGTTAATTTCTAAGAATATAAAACCAAGTGCGATTCCGATGGCAACTGAATGAAATTTAGTGTAGGGTTTATTAAGAAAAACTCTGAAAATATCCTTATCTTAGGGAGCAAATAGTCCTGTTGCCATTTAGTTTACCCATATTACTATAAAAATCAAGCCTATTCCAATCAATAGCAATAATGAAAGTCCTATTATCTTTCCTTTAAGTCCTAATTTCTTAAATAAAATCACAAGTGGTACTGTAATTATAAAAATCTAAAATTCGCTAGCGACATACCAACCCCAATAATAACAACCTTCATTTGCAATAACATACGATGGAAAGAAATTTATGGTCATAGTGAAAACAGACCACCAGTAATGCTAGCAATCACTGAAACCCTTCTCGAATGTCAACCAACATGGTCCTTCGCCCATTAAAGGTCCAACTAGCCATCCAAATAAAAACACTAAATAGTAAAGTGGAGCCAATCTAAGATATCTCTCAAGAATCAGTTTCAAATACAACTTAAAAGTAAATTTATCGCCTGATTATACCAATTTCTAGAATATACTCATCACTTTTAGAGTTGTCAAGAATGCTGAAATCATAAAAAATTCATCAAATCCTAGGTTTGCTGAATAAACTGCAGTATATGCTATAGTCTAAAAATAATCTTAGAGTCGCCAAGGATTATAAACTGCTGAAGACATTGTGTACTAGCATGTACCTAGGAGTAATATCCATACCAAGCACAATATTCTTAACCCATCTAAGATACCAAGATCTCTCATATCCACTATACCCTCAATTTTATCTCTCTTTTTAGTAATGTGATTTAATGAATTTTAAAGAGATAAGGCTTTAAGTGATAATTATATCTTGCTTTTAGATTATTGTAGTATAGTATTAGGAGGTGATATATTAATTAAATTTACATCGAGAGAATTCAAAAGTTATGATTATGTTTGCTCCATAGTAGATTCTACATTAACCATAAATGTTTTTAGCTATGCTTAAGTATATCTCCTCCTAATCTTTATAATTTACTAGATTGTAAAGCCAAGAATGGCTGTAAGTAACAAAGTTACAAGAACAAGAACAATAATTGTTCCAATTTAGATTCTTGAATACCAATTATCTTCATAATCCTTTGTCTTTTAAATCTAAATTTAAATCATAACATCGTCTGGCAAGAAATATATCCTTGGATTATAAGTTTAAACTAAACCTTAGAGCCCTTAGCTTAAATAATTTGATACTTAACTGAATTACTTAGTAATTTGCTCCTACTTACAACTAGCAGGAAGACATAAGCCAAATCTCATTATAACAGGAGTAGTAGAAACATTTAAGTTTAGTAGCATGTATGAATTTTTATTTGGAACTGTGTCACCTTCAAAGTTAGTTTAATTTTCACATGCTTCCCTACTTCCAACATCTCCAAAGCCATGAGTAGAGTAAAATAGCATCTAATTTTGAGGAAAATGTAGCATCTTTAACAAAAACTACTGAGTTACATTCACACATTCCATATTATCACCTAACTTTTATAATCATTAGTTAACTCACTACTCAAAATTTCTAATTTACTCTGGAGTACGCTTTGAGAATGAAATATTAACAAGAAACTTCATCATGAATAGAGTTATAGTTGATTTGATAAAGAGTTTTACTTTCATGGTGACTTGATTTATATTTTACGTGTATATATAATAAATCCTTGTTCTATCTCTAAACAACTGATAAATCATGATTCTGGTATAATGGGGTTTTGGGGTTTTGGGGTTTTGGGGTTTTGGGG